TCTCTCTCTCTCTCTCTCTCTCTCTCTCTCTCTCTCTCTCTCTCTCTCTGTCTTATATGTCTTCCTCACCCCCCCCCAGAGACCTCAGAAGGACAAGCCTAGAGGCCAGACATCTTTCTTAATGTGACACTGAACTAGAAATGCCCTAGCAGTCAAAGCTATGACTCAGCTGCAAAATTTGAAATCTGTTCATCTTCCCTGCTGGGTGACGGTTTGGAAGGTGCCAGGTTACCAACAAAGTTCAACTTAGATCTGATCTTATGGAACAAACTTTGGAATGTGCAAAGAGAGAAAAGCCCAAAAAAGTCCAAGCATACCTCTCTCTCTCTCCCCCGGTCCCCTCTCCCTTTGAGTACATTAGCCTGACCAGCACTACCTATCAGCCTATCAGGGAATGAAAGATATTGAAGATATTGTTACAGTGAATATGTAACTGTGATCCACGTTTCCCTCTTCCCCCCTAAATAAGAAAGATGCACGAAAGAACAGACTCAAAAAACACACTACATTCAGACTTTGCTGTTCTTTTCAGACTATAGTGCAAAATGAATGGACTGTTTCACATCTTGCTGAAGTTCAAAGATAGTGTCTCTGGATTTCCAAGACAATCCATGGAGCTTTGTTTCTTTTTAAAAATATAGTCTCCACGTGCCAAAGTGGGGAGGGGAAGGAAGGTGCATTATCTTTGGTATTTATTTAAGTTACTCTAACTGAAAGTTTGAAATAACCTACTAGCATTGTGGAAAAGAAAAGTATAAAACCCAGAGGCTACCATTTGGCTAGCATTACATAATGCTATTATATAACAAGAGAGAGAGAGAGAGAGAGAGAGAGAGAGAGAGAGAGAGAGAGAGAGAGGGAGAGAGGAGAGGAGAGGAGAGGAGAGGAGAGGAGAGGAGAGGAGAGGAGAGGAGAGGAGACAGAGAGATCAATTTTAGCAAACAAATTACTGGCCTCAGAAAATCATGATCTTGTTTTGGCAGTTAATAGCCAAATACTTGACGCTTTGAAGCACACTGTGCGCCTTCAATTATGTTCAACACTGGCGTTTTAACGTTATGTAAAAGATAAACTACACTGCAACAAAAATACAGTTTGTGTTCATGTAGTTAGCAGCTTTTCAAAATAATTAAGGCAGAGTCTTGCCTATGTTATGCCATTAAAATCACTCTTGTTCCCCTAAAGAGAAGCATTCCAGGCAAGACATGTACCCAAACCGAGGCTTGCCTGCATATTCAAGTTTTGTAAAAACACAAAACAATACATTAAAAACCCCATAACTTATACTACAACCGATATGTGCCATCGTGTCTCTTGGAGGCCTGCAAAGCGCATTACATCAGTCATCCAGCTTACAGTCTTTTCTTGAAACCTTTGTGCTAGCCTTAGTCTGTCTCTTGTGGCTGCTTGCTTTCACCCACCTCTCGACCAGTACCATGGTCTGTATAACTGTCTCGGACCTCTGACCAACATCAGACTGTGTAGCGAAGTAAATATTCCAAAGGCAGAATCAGCCAGTCATATCTCTGATTCTCGCCTTAAGGGCCTGGGCTCTAGAGGTACGCTTGCCTGGTTGTGGAGATCGATGCCAGGAGGTGAGTCTGTACTTGTGCTCTCTGGAACTCCGTTCTCACTGTCCTCTTCCTCTTTGCTTGTTAGGGCAACTTCATTTTCATAGCAAAATGAATTTGCATTTGAGAGGATGTATTTCTTCTCTGCTAAGTCTCTGGCACTACAAAGGGGAGTGTTAGGTACTTCATAAGTCTTATGGAATCTTGAATAGTCTACTTTATAGTAGTGTTTCTCTTCAAAGAGCACTGGCTCGTAGCGGTGACCCCAGAGAATTTCATTGGCCAGATACGAACTCCGGCATTGCGTTGTCATGGCAGTGGCCTCCACCATGCCTTCCAGTATGACAACGATTTCAAAGTCTGCATTGTCAATGTCCTGCTTACTCAAGTCATACAAAGGGCTGTCTTCGTCTATTTCGTGGACAATAGTGATGGGGGACACCAGAAATATACGGTCAATTCCACTATCAAAACCAACATTGATGTCTATCTGGTCCAAGGGGATATATTCCCCTTCTGAAGTGATCCTAGATTTGAGAAGCTGTGCCCGGACATGAGCTTCCACAAGGTGGCTCTTGCGAAGGTTGCCCACTCTCCACATCAAACAGAGTTTGCCGTCCCTCATGGCAATCACAGCATTGTGACTGAAGACAAGAGTCTCATTTCTCTTCTTTGGTTTTGCCATCTTCGCCATGACTGCGCCAATGATGAAGGCGTCGATGATGCAGCCTACGATGGACTGGAATACCACCATGAAAACAGCAATTGGGCACTCATCTGTAACACACCTGAAACCATAGCCAATGGTTGTCTGGGTCTCGATGGAGAAGAGGAAGGCAGCCGTGAAGCTATTGACCTCAGACACACACGCTTTGCTCCCTTTAGAAGCATCCAGATCCCCATGGAGCAGAGCGATCAACCAAAACACACAGCCAAAGAACAGCCAGGAGAGCACAAATGCTAGGCAGAAGATAACCAGCATCCACCGCCAGCGGATGTCAACACAGGTAGTAAAGATGTCTGCCAGATACCTCTGTCCCTTCTCACCCACATTGATAAACTGAACATTGCAATGCCCGTCTTTCTTCACAAAGCGACTCCTGCACTGTTGTCGGGTATGGACTTTACTCTTGCCATTCCCGAAGCCATTGGCGACTGCCATGGTGGCCAGCTTCATGCCGTCTTCTTCTGAAGAGACAATGCTGTAGCGGTTGGTTCGCACACTGCCCATTGCTTCCGCTGGGGACGCCAGTGTTTCTGCTTTAGAAAACAGTCTGAGTTTTTGCAAAACCCTTTGAAGAAACAGTTTTGAATGTTCGGTGAAGACACACCAAAAAAAAATCTTTTCTTTTTAATGAGGAGAGATGGATGTTTCCAAGAACCTTGGGGTTCTTTTGACCAGCAGAGTTATCTTAGTAACTCAGCTGACATCCAGAGAACTTGTCCTACAAGGAAGGAGAGCATTCATTACAAAACAGCCATACTTAAAGGAGCCCTACTGTCTTAACAAACAGAAAATACCAGAAATATACGGTCAATTCCACTATTGAAACCAACATTGATGTCTATCTGGTCCAAGCAGATATACTTCCCTTCTGAAGTGACCCTAGATTTGAGAAACAATATCCCTGTCTTAACGAACAGAAAAAAAAAGTACTTTAGATCGAATTGTGTGGAGTTCTCTTTCTTCTTATACATGCTCTTTTAAATTTTTATTTAAAAATCACAGTCATTGAACATAGATGAGGTACCTCTGCTAGTCACTCCATTGGAATTTTAGTTCTCTTTTCTGCTGTTTGTCAGCAAGCTAGAATATTCTATAATTCATATCTACCTATCAGCTCTTATTCTCTTCCCGGTTCTCAGGGTAATAGAAGAGTTCTTCTCTTTCTAAGGTTTGTACCAGTATTTTACAGGAGGATGTGTCTAGAAAACGTTGTATTTGAACAGCCAGAATATTAATCCATCTATGTGTGTATTAAGGGAGAATGTCCCAGCCCTTGCTGACAAGGTTGACATCGACAGGCACAGACAGTTTTGTTTTGGTAATAATGTTGGACAGAAAGTCCTTTGCAACATTTGAAATAGATCCTAACTTCTGGATACTGTTTGGGCTTGCTTCGTCACTCCACATACTTGAAGCAGGCACTGTGCAGAAAAATGCCTGATACCATCTTCTAGAATGCAAGGGATTCTGACTTGAAGGCACAGATTTGCTCTGGGGGATAAAGAGCCATTCTGTTGCCTAGCAATATGAGTCCTGAAATTCTCCAGAGATGGGATTGCCATGTGTAATGACAGGGTAGGAAGCAAGCACCTCTGTGCCAAAGGCCCAGGTCTTTAGCGGATTGAGATAAGGCAGGGGCTCATTTCATGTGGGTCCAAGGCTGTGTGCTCTCAAACAGAGGCAACTTTGTAATCAAAGGAGCTCATAAACGCAGTGGGCTCACTCTCACTTCTAGTGCTGTTGTTTGCTGTAGGTTCCTATGGAGAAGGCACTCACCTTTACCTAACTTGAACAAATAGTAGCTTCCAGCTTCCTCCCACTGCTCCATTCTGCCCCCAGGTAAAATTTAGCTACCTGCTCTGACTTTCCTTCTTGACTCAACAAAACAAAACAAAAAAACAAAACCCTACATGTCCTCTGTAACGAGAGAGAAGAGAGGAGAGAGAGAGAGAGAGAGAGAGAGAGAGAGAGAGAGAGAGAGAGAG